CCATACCCTTCACGGCTGCAGCAATTTTCTGCGAGATTCATTAGTAGAAAGTAGGAAGACAGAGGCCAATGATAACGGCAACCCCCGACTAGCCTTCTTAGGAGCTCCCGAGAATCCGCCCCCTCCATAGTGGTCCAGCCGTTGGAAGTCCTACAAATTCCCGTCTTTCCCTTGATGAAATCTTTGATTCTCGGTGAGAGGACAACTCGAATAATTTTCTCATGGTGGGAGTACCCAGCACATGAGAACGACGACCCTCAGATGACCTTCCTGAGGCTCCCGGGAACCCATCCCTGAATTCTTGCAGCGATCGGTTCAGGCGTTTGTGAATTATGCGAATTTCGGATTTTTCAATTTTTTTCCCATTTTTCGTATTTCCGTCACTGGAGCACTCGAATAATTTTTTTAAGGTAGAAGGACTCATCGCATCGGAGAACTGACCCCCCTATAACCACCGCTGGATCGCCCAGAACACGCTCCTAAATTTTCACGACGATCGGTTCAGCCGTTTTCGAGTCTATAGGTGACACCAGACAGACAAACAGACAGACAAACAGACAAACAGACAAACAGACAGACATACGTTTTTATATATATAGATTCAGGCCGGGCATGCGTGACCTTCGGATTCCACTCGATAATCTCCTCAAGAAGGATCGTCCGTTCACTTGGAGCTCTCAGTGCCAGGATTCTCTCGATGAGTTGGAACGTCTTCTTCAATCAGACTTGGGTCTGACCCATTATAACCCAGCACTCCCTCTTGTGGTCGCAGCCGATGCCAACAACTATGGCATTGGGGCTGTTCTGTCCCGGATTCCTCGGAAAAAGCAGTCGCCCACGCATGTCGCTCTCTGACTTCAGCTGATCGTGAGAAGAATTATTCCCACATCGAGGAGGAAGGCTTGGCGCTGATCTTCGCTTGCGAAAAAATTCCATATATTCCGGTGCACCCCATTTGGGCGCGATCGTTTGGGCGCGGCCGTTTGGGCGCCGGTCCATTTGGTCGCGAACTTTTTGGGCGCCAGTCCATTTGGGTGCGAGCCGTTTGGGCGCCCCAGCGGTCTACGGGGCTGAGAATTCACTTTCTGCCTGGGTAGCAACTCGCAGATCCTCCCAGTATTTGGTCGTAGAAAGATATGGGTAAGTGGGACGTGTGCGGGTACGCGGGAACGACCATATCAACGCGGGGCGCGGGAACGGTGTTCGATTCCGAAGCTGAAGAAAAAATCAATACAGACATGTCGTCGGTTCCCACTTTCGTCAAATCAAGCCGTGGTCGGGATAAATTGTGCTTGGAGGGGCAGATGTATGTATTTGACAAGACCAGCTCGGATGGTACAGATGATTTCTGGCGTTGCATGTTCAAGAAAACTTGCAAGATCCGTTTGCACCGGACCATCGCTACCAATGAGGTCAATTTTGTCTCTGGATCTCATAGCGATTCTTCGTATGCGGCTGCGATAGAGGTTGCGAGCGCGAGAAAAGCGTTGGAACGACGGGCTGCAGAGACCCAAGAAAGTCCAGCTCAAGTTATCAATCACGTCCAGAGTGGAGCATCGCTCGCCATCCAGAGGGAATTCCCCTCAAACCGGGTGCTCGCGAAAGTCGTGAACCGTGTCCGCAAGGCTCGCGCAAGCGCACCGGCTCTTCCCGCTGACCGGAGCCTCATCGTCATCCCTGATGATTATGCGGTTTACGAGCCGAACCCGGATCATTCGGAACGTTTTCTGATTGGAGATTCGGGCTTCGGCGACGAGGGCAGAATTCTCATCTTTGGTCGTGAGTCTGCCTCGAGCTGGATCGGGCTCGTCAACAAGATAAGTGTCGACGGAGCCTTCAGCTTGGCTCCGAAGATGTTCAATCAGGTTTTCGCCATCCTAGCGGAGCGCTCGGGCTTCGTCGTACCGGTATGCTACGCACTCCTCCCCAACAAAACTCAAGCAACGTACACGCGCATACTGGAGCTCGTGAGGGAAGCACGGCCCCAGTTCAGTCCCGACAAAGTCTCGGTCGATTTCGAGCTCGGTCTCGTGAACGCTTTCCGAACCACCTTCCCGAATGCTGAGATGAACGGTTGCCTCTTTCACTTAGTTAAGAACATGAAGGGAAAACTCATGGATCTGGGGCTCATCAGGCGATACAATCAAGACGCCGACTTCGCCTTGTCTGCTCGGATGATACCGACGCTCGCGTTCATTCCGCCGGCGCACATCGACAACGCCATCAGCGAACTGGCTCCAGAGCTGCCCGAAGAGCTCATGCCCATCTTGAATTACTTCGAGTACAATTACGTCGGACGCTTGCGATTAGTTCCCGGCGGAGAAATCGCTCGCGCCCCGCCTCGATCCTGATCGATATGTGGTCGGTTTACCAACGTACCCTGGACAGTGAAGCTCGAACGAATAATTTCGCGGAAGCTGCCCACCGTCGTTTGCAGGGCGAGTTCGGGGTCGATCATCCCAATCTATGGAAGTTCATAGACGGGATCCGCAAAGTTCAACAAAGTCGCGACGTGACATACGCTCGATACGTCGCTGGAACGAGCCGGAACCGAAGCGCAGTAAATATGTCGCTGCCGATGACCGGATTCTCAAAATAGTCGGAGAATTCGGTGACGCCTTTGGATTACTTGCGCGGACCCGCGAGGAACTTCAGGATGGACGCTTCCAGGAGCGCATCGCAAACCATCTCCGAGAACCCCGTCCCAGAGTAGCGTCGAGAGAACATGATCCGCGAAACTCTTAAACTGTGAAAACATACGTACAGCTTTTCCTCTCCAGAGTCCAACCCGAAAAGTCCGGGATGAACGAATAGCCTAAGAATAATAAAACGAAATAACGGCGTCTCTGACGCGGTCGATTGAGTGCTTCAAAACGATTGACTGACTCTTCATTCATGCCTTCGCTGTGATTATCGAAAAACCCAAGAGTTCTGGTGGGAGAACTTCATGAGCTGCCATAGTTTCATAGAGATCGCCGGTCCCGCGCTCGAATGACCCGCGCTCAATCAAACCGGCGCCGGCGCGGCGCCAAAATGGCTCGCGTCCAATCGGACCGGCGCCCGAATGGCTCGCGCCCAAATGGGACGCTCCGATATATTCATATGCGGACGCAAGTTCACTCTGCTGACAGATCATCAGCCTCTCCTTGCTATATTCGGAAGCAAATCTGGAATCCCAGTGTATTCCGCGAATCGCCTACCACAGATGGCAACAATTTCATGGGATATGACTTCTCCATTAAGTGCCGACAGACCACGAAATCCGGGCAGGCCGATGCTCTGTCAAGACTCGTCGCCAAGCAAGTGAACGATTAGGTTTCGGAGGATGTCGTTATCAGCTACATTGAAGCAGACATCAATGTAGTCTTTGACGCGTGCGTTCAGACGATCCCAGTCACTGTCAGGGATGTTCGAAGCGCTACTGAGAGAGATGAGGGTCTGTGCTAAGTCAAGCAATACATCCGAAGCAAATGGCCTGACAGAATTGAACGAGATAGTTTCATTGGGCACTTCTACGACCGTAGGAATTCTCTATCGATCGTGAGGGAATGCGTCATCACCGACGACCGAGTCCATCCCTGGAGTTCTGCAGCCGAAAATCCTCCGACAGCTGCACGTGGAGCATCCAGGGGTTACCAGAATGAAGCGATTAGCGAGGAGTCTGTCGTGTTTGCCGAAGATCGACAGAGAGATAGAGACTCTACATCGTGGCTGTGCTGCCTGCGTTGAATTTTATCGCGATCCGCACAAAGCTCCGCCACGAGCCCGGGAGCTTGCTTCGAAGCCATGGGAGCGGGTCCACGTCGATTCGGCCGGACCTCTCGAGGGGTCTATGTTCTTCATCGTAGTTGATGCTTTTTCTGAGTGGCCTGAAATCTTCGAGATGCGATCCGCGACAAGAAGGACCACCATCGAGAAATTTGTTCCAATTTTCGTGAGATTCGGGAATCCTGCCATATTAGAGTCTGATAATGGATCCCAGTTCAAGTCCGAGGATTTCGAGAAGTTCAGCAGGAGTCGAGGAGTCACGAAACCGCGCCGTCCGAAGCACCGATGGCAACGCCTCAATCAACGCCATCGCCTGATTTAACGACGCTGACACCGACTCCTCTTCTTGAACGATGGACTCTCAGAGCACATCAACTTCTCGTCCCTCCGCGGAGGCTCGTAGTCGACCCGAGTCGTATGAGTAGGCGTCCCTCTCAAAAGGGAGGTGTGAGGACCGAAACAATTATCCTTCAGTATTACCGTCCTATAAATGAAGGTGGCAAGCCTGTAATCATTGTCATTGACTTTGCTGGCGTTGACAAGGAAGCCAGTCCGCTCTCTTCACCTCGTGACGTGGTCATTACAAAGTTGAATCAATGAGTGGATTCGCTATATCGATCAACTCGTAAGCCCAATTCTTCTCCAACCTTCCCCAGACCTCACCGACACCGCCGAAACCAACGAAATCACAGAGACCATAGATGACGTGAACCGCTCATATAGAACTCCCGCACTTCCCATCAGAATGAAGCACCGCCCAAGGACGAAATGTAAAACAACCACTCTCCCTGAGAACCGATTTTACCCCGAAATATCATTGACTCCTAACCATGCCGACTGTACCATCGGGCTCTGGAATTGTGAGGGCCTCCGTAGAAAGATGCTCGTCATCGATAAAGAGCAGATGAAGTCCTACGACGTCTTCGTCTTCACAGAGACGTGGGAGCTGAGAGACGACCTGAAGTTCCCCTTCTTTCATATCGCTCAATGCCCGGCCAGGAAAAGTGATGGCCCTGGTCGCCCCAGTGGTGGCGTCGCGGTAATCTACAACAGTAAGCTCAAGGATGCCAGATGCAAACTAGCCGAAGACGACACCGTTATCATCGAGGCACATAACGTAGTAATAATAGCTTTATGTACATAAATCCAGCGGAGTCACCTGAGAGCTTTGATCTCTAGCTGGCGAACGCATCAATGAACATAAGATCAGATATCCCTACGGTCCTATCCCTAGAGTCCTTCAGCCCTCGGTGCAACAAATCGTTGGATCCGAGCTTTCGACGGCGGCAGCGTCATGCTATTGCTCGAGTAGAAGTCGTTGTAGTCGTCGACGCCATGATCGTCTGCGTCGTCGGAAGCAGTGCATTGCGCGGTCGTATCAGATGGTAGAACCCCGTTCGATATCTGTGTAGAATTCGATTATTATGATCCCATATTCGAAACTCCCGGAAGGTGTCACGTCATCCTTACATGATTCCAAATGTCTAATGTGATCGTTGGTCTTCTCTCAATTGCAGGGAAATACGAGCGCCCCGAGCAGGACCTAAGCTAGCTCGAGCTGACCTAAGCTAGCCTCCACTCCATTACGTCACACTCACCAGTATATAGACCCGTTCATCGGAATAAAGCTCAAAGTCTCAGTAGTCACCATCCAGACTACACCCAACAACTCTCGTGTATTACTTCCATTCTTCCAACCAACAGCTATTCTGATGTGGACTGTGCGGTAGTCAACTTCCATCGAGACAGGACATCATCGTTCTCTTCCAAACACCGTCCAAATCCATAACCCTACCGTCGCATCAGATGGTAGAACTCCTTTCGTGTAGAGTTCGATTATTATGATCCCATATTCGGAGCTCCCGGAAGGTGTCACGTCATACTCACATGATTCCAAATGTCTAACGTGATCGTTGGTCTTCTCTCAACACGGGAGGCGGGACACGAGGCCCGAAAGTAGTTTCTGATCGGTTTCGGTGGATTCAATGTCCAACCCAACACACAGTGGCAACGTTGGGTCGAGTCAGAGGGATAACAGGGGACACCGGGGCATGTTGGCACCCGACTCGCCTTTCTTTCCGCAGTTACGCAATCTACAACCCATCTAAATCGACCCATTCTAGGTTTCTTGTTGGGACTCCCGTGGACTGCAACCGCGCAGGGACAGAATCCAGTACGGTGGCTCCCTTTGCGGACTGCCAGACTTAGAGGTCGTCATCTGTTTCAGTGCCTAAGATCCTCGCATGCGGGGCATCTTGGCACCGAAGCGGTACCGTGAGGAAAACGAGCTCATGTCAATGAAATGTTCCTTGTTGGGGTTTCAGAGCGTTCCTGTCAATTTATTCGGGGATAGATTCTCATGAGATAATCGCCGAAGAGCAAAGATATAATAATCAAGCTTCTCCGACAAGGACTGATTGAAAAAAAATTTCAATGATAATGCTACGCTTCTCCTCCTCCGGAGTTGCGTCGCTTCTTCTTCGTTCTCTCGCGTTCGCGACTTGCGCTTCGATTCCGCTCCTCGACAAGGGCTGCTCGCACAGCATCGTCGGTCAGTTTTGCGGCCGATCTTTTCGGCCTACCTTTACGAGTCGATCTACGAGGTCCAGCTTTCGGCAACGGGAAAAGCGTTTCCGCAGGCGCGTCGACGCGGGCAGCATCTTCCGGCGGCGTCGATGTTCTCGGAGCTCTTTGTGGATCGGTAGCAGAGCTGTGCGCCGCAGTGGCGGCGGGAAAATAGACGAAGACGGCGAACGCCACGGCGTTTTTCGGCGGACCACACACTCGCGGCGCGACTCTCTCGGCCCGAAGGGAGCTCCTAGCTCATACAAACCAATTGACTCACAGGGTGTGAGAAGGCGAAAACGTGAGAAGTACATATCCCACGAAATGAATAGGGATTCGGAAGCGAGTACGTGCTTGATTGATTTATTCTTAATTTACTAAATTTCTAAGAAGCTCCGATTGTCCGCATTTTCTCCGCATTCGAAGAGGAATCGAAGAAAATTTGATGATTCGCTGCGTTTTGCCGCTCGGGAGAGTTGATGGAGCGGTCGTTTTTGACGCGCTCAGTTCTAGTCTGTCCGGATTCCAAAATACACGATGGAGCGCTAGTCAGAACAGGGTGATTCGGGTTCGGATCAAAAATTCCGGAATGACCTGAGACTTCGAGTGGAATAATGCAGCCGAGTCTTGAGTGTCTTCGATGCAGTGTCCCCGGCTCTTCCTGGTGCCCACATGTCCCAGTCTCTCCTATAAGCGCGCTCCCAGAACTACACTTAATGTACATACGTATGGATATATTTTGATTCAGCATGGAATACTCCCCACCAAGTAAGCTGGGGACGCGGGAACACTCCGACGCGGAGAACCAAGTCATGCATTCGATTCCGACTCTATGATCAGTTCTCTGTGTGTTTCTTCCATTCGCCGGGAAGTAGTTGCTCCCGGAAAGCTCCGAATGTTAAGCATGCGACGCTTTCTGGGGATGCTGCAAGATTTACAGGGACTCGCATGCGGGGGATGAACTTCAGTTCCGGGTCGCGATCCGAGACCGACCTCTACGGCGCCGCTGCTAAGACGTCTCCCGGCCGAAGAAGAATCTCCTGACTGACGTATCCACACATTAGATACGAATGACGCCAATACTCGTCTAAATTCTCAACGGACGACTCGGACTAGGATTTCGAGCGAGGATGATGATAGGAAAGAATGATAGCCGCCTAAGCTCCCGTGGTGCCGGCGGGATTCGATGACGCGGTCTCGGAGCATCCGTCCGGTTCCCCTGCTCAGCTCGTTGCGGCACTCAATGATTTTCTATGATATCGATATAGATTCGAGCGCAAGTCAGATCGAGCGCAGGTCCAACTTGCGCGCATTGGCTTTCAGACAGATTTCCAGCTGGGATTGTGGCATCGATGGAATTCCCGGTTATATTCGTGTCTGAGAGCCTCGAAGCCTTTGATATTTTCGAAAAGCATCGTCGCTGAATAATATCTTCTTTTTTTCAGGAATAAAATCGAATGCATGTCTGTCTGTACGTCTCCCGATTACTCTCGAACAAAACTTCCGAATGCGTCGATTTTTCTGAACCGACGCTAGGAGATGCTAGGGAAGGATATAGGCCTATCAAATTTTATAAGGGTTCAATAGTCAGGCTCATTCTTCTTTCTTCCCTTTCGTTTCTATTCAGTGCGACCTCAACTTGAGTCAATGATTGGTGCCTTACGTTGGGACTCAAGTCGAGGAACGACCGAAGTTGAGGATAGGTTCGCCCAGTTGCTCGATGAAGGATTTCTTCAGTATTTCCGTGGGGAAGACGGTTTCGTGTATGCTTGTAGATAGCCAAGGTGTGGAAAGTCTGGTATATTTTACGGAAACTGTGAGATAAAACTCTTGGGTCGCAGGAGAGTCACACAAATCCAATGGAGTAAGAAGTAAGGGAGTCTTCGACTATTCCCTTTCCCTTTAAGAGCGGCATCTGTGGCGAATCGCGAATAATATCACGGAACTTGGATAGAGATTCTGCGATCAGGGAAAGCGATTCTCTCAGCTTCCGAAGAACTGTCCGCGCCCTCGCCCCAGCTCTCCTTCTCCCTCCACGCCGTATCCGAGACTATGATAGATGAGCTCTCGGTTTGAAGGAAGTTCCTTTGCGGACTCAAGCATGATTGGTTATCGAAGTACTCTTCATGAAGATCCATTTACCGCGCGAGACGCGGCCTGGTCTCGGATCGAGGTCTTCATCTTGTTTGTTGTCGAGTTGTTTTAACAAAGTAAGATCTGTCAGCGAGTGAAAAAATTAAGAATCTCGCGGAACTCGCTGCCTTGTTTGAGGCCTCTATTTCGCCTAGCCCCTCGTCCAACCGCGAGAATCGCCGGTGATCGAAATTGAAGCTTTCCTCAGGTGAAATTTGACCCCTCATTGATAATCCTCGATCTGACGAGCCCCGAGGACGAGCTTGTGTGTTGTAGGACGAAAGCCGCCTCGAAGCGGAGCCAGAAGACTGAGATCAGTGACCCACGCGGCGCCACGGACACTGGCAGTGTCTCCGGGTCGCTCAGAATCTGACCGCCGCCGCCGAAAAATGCAGCATTCTTGTTTATACAGAGGTCGATTTTAATATATTCTGCCCACGAGGCTACTGCGAAAAATATCGAGATCTTTTGCTCTGGTCGGCCTCGACCGACTGTCGATCCCTCGGAAAGTCAGGGACGAGGTGAAGAGCCTGCAGGATCCCTCGACCGAGACAGAGAGCCCCCTGGATTCTTTTACCGATATAGACATGCCTATTCCTTGAATCCCCATCGGAGGACGTCGCATTCATAAGCTCTCAATATGAAGAGGATCCCGGCAATAGTTCGATGGTCGACAATAGGCAAATGGTCCAGGTCCCTTCGACCAGGCGTTCCCTTGGGAGTGGGAAGGAAGAGACAGAAAGAGAAAAGGAGTGGCCCTGCTCATCCTTGCTGGATCGGAGTTTGACAGGGATCGTATGTCCCTGAGGGCGCTGAATCTCCAGAATCAAGGCGGAGAACCTCCCCACGGAGAATCAGCGGCGATGAGGTACTATTTCGATGCTGCGGATCGGCAGAGGCTTCGTTCAATTGTGTCGCTACGAGCTGATGCTAGAAACTCTAGCTTAAAGCTGCGCAGACTCCAAGATTTTACACCAAAGTCATTTATTGCCGTTAGCTCTCTTGATATGAGACACTGAGGATAGACACCTAGAGCCCGAGATTTACTTGATTCGAAAATCTTATACACGGTCGACGAGTCGCTCAAATTCCAACATCAAGATCACAAACTCTGACGCATCGAACCTAGGGCACTCATCGGAAGGGGCCGACTTCAAATACCAAGACTGACTTTTGCGACGAGACTCCATAAATGTTGAACCGCGCGATAGTTCTCCGCTTCGTTGAGAGTTCGCTTATTGTCCAAATATGTATATATAAATATCGCCTCATGTACGTATATATCATCACCGCTTTCCCTCGACTTGAAAGTCCATTTGCCCATTCATTCATAAATGACTCAGGGATCAGAACTCATCGCCTGACTGCTGCTTCCGAGATTTCGCAAGCGAGATATCTGAGTGGTAGGGGTGACTCATAGACGATGGTGTAAACATTCGCGATAAGCGTAGTATCGTTCCTCTCTCGAAAAATGCCAGGATTCGGACGCTAGTCCATCTCCTTTCGGATCCGAAACCGATCGCACTGGATTGGTTCAAATCGAGGCGGATTGCAAATTATGGGCATGTTCATCGATGAGAGCGGATTTCTTCGCAAAGAATTCTACGGGGTATCGCTCAAGGGTAACAAACTTCGTAAAATCTACACGATGAAAATTGCCTTCTCAGTGTATTATCGGCCTTTCCACGTATCAAACACGAAATGCTCATTGTCGCATATACTTTTTAACAAATAATGAGTTCAATGACAACTCTGAACCCCGGAATGTTCCTCCCTTATCTTACAAGTATAGGCACGTTTATACCAGAGAAGCTGATGTACTTCGGCAACTGCCTCACGATCATCCACGGTGCAATCGCTTGACTAAAGAAATCCATGAGGGCCATACAAGGGAACGAGGGAGCTTCTGAAAGCCATGTTTCGCAATTTGATTCCAGGAGTCACGCCTTAGAGGAACAATCGTATGCTAGCTCAGAGGTACTACCGAAATGGTCCTCCGTTGGATGTCGAATGAACTTTCAGGAACTCTTGACTAGCAAGTAATAGGCAGAACTTTAAGTAACAGAGAACAAAGCCTGGCTCATCCGCGAATAAAGCTCCGAAGCTACTACTCTCGTGAGTCGAGCTGGGAACTCGTCCCGAAGGAACATTAACAATAGGTCGCTTCTTCCATACCTCCATGACTAGTGGGAATCGTCGACGAAGCGCTCAAGGCGTCTCCCGACCGCGGAAAAAATGTCTCTGGAGGCCTCATCGGAGGGCAAGTGTTCTAAAAGTCTGACTCAACGAATAAGAGATTCTCCTCAACATCCCCCATTCAGCCATAGCATTGATTGTTCAAAGGGACTGAGGCTAGAACTGCATATAGGCTATGATCAGAATTCCTGCCTCCAGAGCTAATTTGGTTTGTCGTCACCTCAAATACCGAAATGCATACACCGAGAAATAACATGTATATGTTATTTACATCATCAGAATCTCTTCACAGACCTGAGAAATAATGCCACGACTCAAGCGTCCTTCCGAAAAGACTTCTCCGGAACCGATCTAAGACTTGAACTCGATTGGGGTACATCAATGGATGCGCCGAACAGACCGACGATCAGGGTGTAGGATCGACTCGGAATCTTCTGCGTCCATTTCCTCGTTTCGATTTCTCTACCGAATATACTATGTCGGCTAATTAATCAGCCTAACTCATTTGGACAGCGAGACCCAATTAAGCCAGGGGAGAAATCGGACGTGATTTGTCGATGGGATGATTTTTGAACGAATTATCGAGCAATCGATCGGTTGTGCTTCTCGAGTACCACAAGTGTTATTTTCCTTTCGTCGGGAGCTCCAAGGAACCCTCACATTTGACGACGACATCTGACACAATACAAAAATTGGCAGGACCAATTTTCAGACTTTCACTTTTTCTATTCAGCTGTCTGATTCGGCAGATGTGTAGAAATGTGATGGTGCATCTGTGAGAGATTGGACACGGAGTTAGAGGATTGTTTATTCATCAGATTCATCTGATCCCCCCCCCTTCAAAACTCTCGAAACTCACATGAGCCGATGTCGCACTTTTCTTCATAATTTTGCCACTCATTATAAGGCGTCCGAAGCCCTCTTGATGTGCGAATGCGTACCCCGACCTAGAAGAGGCAGACAGATTGTCCGTGATCAGATAGTTTTCTCGACGGTATCCATCGGCGGATATCCTCTGCTCCGAGCAGGCTCGACGGCATCGATCGCGTGGATCGATGCCTATACTTCGTGCTACATGGTTACGTGCCTTATAGAACGTCGTGATCGACGGAGGCTCCGTGCGGTCGTCATGTGAGGCTCCGAGGGTCGTGATTTGATTCTCTGGAGACGCTGTTTGAGACGCACTCGATCACTGAGCGTGGGAAAGACGTCCACGTAGAAGAACCTGGAGCATAGATTATGTGAGAGACTGTGACTTGTTTGAGATGAGCCCTATATTCCATTGGGGGAGCCGTCCTTACCGGAATGCAACAACAGGCAGCATCAGAATGGTGACTGTGAGCGCAGCCACAAACCAGAACTGTGGCGTGCGCAGTGTTACGCGAAGAGATGCCATATACGCGTTACCTGTCACATGTGAGAGCAGTATTGAATATTTCCGTAATCTCCTTGTGGAAGAGACGTCTCATAGAGGAGAAAAGAGATCGATTCTCCCCGTGACAGGAAGAAACGATTGCCAAATTAAGTAGTGCTCTCGTGATTCCATTTTGCTTGTGGAGGACTCATTTCCATATTTTTCCAGCTCGGTGTTCCTCAATCCCCAGAGTTCGCTCATCATGAGAAGGCCAGAGGGGCTTTGAATTTCAGGGTTCGCGCCATTCGGCGGAAAGAGTTTCGAAATCCTGCATCTCGCACAAGTACGGAATGGGGCCCCTTGTCAGCTTTCTTTCTCCGAATCTCTTCTGAGGGGTTCGGCAAAAAGCTTGAACAACACCGATCTTGAAAACCACAAGTTGAGACCTCTGCATTATCTACCATCCAGCTATTCATTCGGATGCCGATTGAAGTATTTGCCAATCATGAGGATGGCAGCCCTGACATCCCCCGCTTCTCTACAGCGGATCGCATGCCTCGGCAGAGACGCTCTGGAACGAGATAGGGGCGGGACCGGGGATTGCGTCCCTTATATCCGAGTGCCCGTTACTGTGTCCTATATAAGCGACTCAATTGAAACCCCGAAGGCTCGGCCGGGCCCGAGCAATAATTGGTCCATGATCATGAGGTCCGTTATAATTTATAAGGGAGTTTCTCCGTATACGGTGCTTTCATGCAACTCAGCAGGCGAGGAATTATGCCAGTGATGCCTCAGATGAAAATCACTCGCCCGTATGTGGTGCGGAATTCGGTTAGGCGTGTACCTTCCTCTTGCTAAACGATCTCTTTGCAAGCAACATCCGCTGACAGTATCGTGCCACCAAGGAATCATGCCTTTCGTGGGGAAGAAGGAAGTCGACATGAGACCTGGTCAATGTGCCGCGGAGAATGATGTGAACGCTATATCACATGCTCTGCGCCGCGGACCCGAGTTCACGGTTGGAACTTGGGTGGGATCGATTTGGGATAATTAAAACATTCGTTCGAGCTACACAGTGAATGGTCGAGACAACCGCAATTCGGTGAAAGAATTCTCCGCGACGCAGGAAGATCTTCCGAGAACAGTCGGACGTGGTTGGATGCAGCATTCGTTCCAGAACACCACCGTGTTCAACTCCGGCTTACCGGTAATTCGTTCTTCCAGAAGCGTTGCTGATTAAAGATACCACCGTTTAAGATGCGGGCCGAATAAATTCTCTCAAGTATTTCAAGGAAAAGAGCAAGGCTCACTCAATAAGTTAGAGAATATCCGAGCGCAATCGACGAAAGATATACGATATCCTTGCTCAGAACATCTGCATGAGCTGATCGAGTATGATACCTCACATCCCTCCTCGAAAAGATATGATCAAGCCTAGCATGCCTATCAAAAATACGCCACGAAGCTCCTCAAAAATGCAATGCTGTCGGACGATTCACAAAATGCACATTTCGGCAAAATGCAAACTATAAAAATTCTGTTGGGCTCCATCGCTACCAGATAGTCAAAGTATTCTCGTCTATCACGAAAAGCATTGATGACAGCGAGAAACAACAATGACGATACCACTCGCAACGCTCGGAGCGAAATTGAGTCTTATCTTTGAAAAAGAGTTCGACAGAAAAGGGAGCCAGAAGACTGAAGCAAGAAGAGAGTTCGATAGACCAGCGTAGGCACCGAGAGTCCAGCTGGGAGCATTCTTCCTGGGGCCGCCGACGAAACTTGTCGCAGCAGCTTATAGAAAAACTTACCTATAAAGTCGGAGTTTATCAGTAGGGTCATAGCAAAATAGAACGCTACAGATCCCCAAATGCAGATGTGGTTGAACAACGTCCAATACGTTGTGTCGATGGCGATCTGGCAGTTGACAATGATCACCTGAAGGGTAGATTAGAGGAGATTAACACCGATGCCACTGCCAAATGGTATTGATTCTCGGCAGGAAACTACGGAAGCTTACCAAGATCGTCGAGACGACGGTTCCAAATAATTGGTGGCCATCGAGGTTCTCGCCGTTCTCGGCGATGCTGTTGTTAAAAGCTCCTGTAATCCGCACGCGAATCGCGTCAGAGGGAGCTTCATTCCCTGAGTGATCTAACCGCTATCGAGAGCTCTCTCTCAGATTGATTTGTGGATTTACCGTATGGTATGAAGAATAGTACAAATGATGTGACGACTCCGTGAGCCACGCTCTTCAGAAATTCCACCTGGAATCAGACAATCGTCTAGTCGTTTAGCACGAGAGAATTCTTCTCATATCCGACTTTGGAGCGTCTCTCGGTAATGCCCTACAGATAGACTCACCTTATTGAACAACAGGTTCAAGTGCCCGGGTGTATAAAGTTTCGGATATCGTATTGAGTGGTAGTCATTGACGTCCTGCAAAGGGTATGGAATCCGAATTTGCACGTCTGAATCTCGCACGCCAAGTCTCGGCACACTCGCTCCCTGTCGTAGTGATCCCATGTCATACTCACTTGGTCGAATACTCCAAGAGCCAATACAGGTAGTGATGTATAAAACACGTTATAAAACGATATGAAAACGGGATCGTACAGGGTCTGAAAGTATAGAAATTCGCTCTTGATTAGCTCGAATTCGTGGAGATATCCGCTGACTATTTTTTTCATGGGAGGAGAAATGCCTGAATTCCATTCGGGGACTTGCCTGCGCGGAAAACCCACAGAAGAAGGCAAACCAGAAATGGCAGAGAGTGAATGCAAAATTTTTGTAGAAAAAATATCTGAAAGGGGAGACATCGAGCTCGATTATATCTTGACTTCTGAAAGTCCGAGAAATCGTGCGGATTCTCTCCATTTTTCAGACACGACCAATTACCGAAGAAATCTGCACATTCGTAGGTAAGACCAACGTCCGTGGACGAGGAGTAATCTTTCGAGGAAACGAAACTGCGCGATTGAGAAATCCGAGGCTAACACAGCCTGCATACCCTCTTGCCCTGAAATTCCCACACCTATATGGGCCACTAGGAGAGAAAATTAGGCGAAGTTATTCTTCGTGAAATCATGTACACGCTTATTCCGATGCGAGGTCACCGGTCACGGAGGTTCCCGGCCCGTACCCGGGACCTGATCTCGCAGGCATTCTGCAAAACTCACTCTTTATCATGGAAACATCGTTCGCGCCGTCCCCAATGGCCAATGTGACCGCTTTCTTGTGTTTTTTCACAAGATCCACGACTAGGGCTTTTTGTAACGGTGTGACCCGACAGCACACGACGGCCTTGCACCTACATGAAATATTTGAATCGTTATGGCGCTCATCGAGAATGAAACAATACGTTCGGCCGAGCTGCGGTGGGGTAGCTCGGATCGCCGCCGAACGATCTTATTCGATTCGACTCACCTCGATGCGACTTCGAGGAACAGGAGTTCGAGATCTTGATCCAGCGCGTGAACCAATGAATGGCCGTTCACTATGAGTGCAAATCCTCCGAAGGAATCAGAGAAATCCCATTCCCCCCCGCCAGTTCCATCGTCATCGTGGAACCTTGAAGGCGAATTCCGATCAGAGCTCGTGCTAGATTTTGAGCTCCGCTTCGAATGTCACCCAGACATCTCCTTGGAGCCTCCTCGGACTATGGGTAAACTCACCTAACGATCGATAAGTCTCCCCCCGCAGCGCTTTGTGAAACGACCGATGCTATGTTTTCCCGGAAAGTGCGTAGTTGCTTCCACACCTAGAGAAGAGGATCGTTTAGCTCGCTGATCAGCGAGAGATTTCACTGATCATGAGCTCGACGATCCCGTCTTCGAGATCGATACAGTGTCACAATATTCCGCATGGAAAATGACCTCATCTTTTTCGGAGCCGTCCACGATAAATATATCGACCATCTCGTCCGTCAACAACTGGCATGAGTATCCGATATTTATTGCTGTCTCTGAAAACATTATGGAAAAAGTAGTGAATTGGAGTCCTTCAAACCGGAGGAGCGCGACTTCGCGTCAACCTTCTCAGTTTTCGGGATTTGTCCGCTGTACCTTGTTTGTCTCCCGTCAGAACCCATAATTTGATCCCGGCAGCCGCTAAATTCGCGATTGCTTGCGGCACCCCGTCCTGGAGTTTGTCTTCGATCGCTGTTGCGCCTATGAAGCATTCATTGTAAAAAAATCTGTAAGTGAGCAACAAGCTCTCCTCGGGGAATCATTGATCTGAGAGGCAGAGGGAGAATTCTCAGCGCTTCTGCAGGGTCCGAAACTCCGGACTCACCTATGAGTATGAGATCGCGTTCAATTTCTTCATTCACAGCGTCGACAGCTTCTTCTCTGTTGTCCAAAGTGATCGAGGCCTTGTGGTGCTTGTCCGACCACTGTTCGAAATATGATTCGTCGATATCTTTGTAGGCCAGACAGAGGGTCCGCAATCCTTCTCCCGCGAATTTCTGTGGGGGTATTCATGAGGGGATTATTGCTGAGCCCTCCACAGGGATTTCAAACCCTGATAGTGTGACGGGAACATACGTTTAGATGTTCCATGGTCTGCTCTTGAAGATCCTTGCACGCTTCCGAAAGTCGCTCGAAAACAACGGAATCCGCTCCTTTGCAGTAGAGCTTCAGTCGCCCGTCGGGACTCCTATGGAAGTAAGCTCTTCGGAATCTCTCCCGTTGCAATGTATAGAGCCTTGCAGCTTTCGAGAGAATGCATTGAAATCCGTAATTTGCAAAACGCCAGAAGAATCTTACCTCACAATAACCGACATTCGTTTTCTAACGTTGTTAAAATCGAGAATAGCTAACAATTCATAGACTTCTTCTTTGCCCCAAACGCTGATCGTTATGCTTTTTGGCGTTCGGTTCTGGAATTATGGGAGAATTTCAAGGAGGCGCTTCACGATCGGAGTCGAATCCAAAGATTACGTTCGTTGTTCGGCTCTCGTACAAGGAAAGCAACGCATCGACTCACTTTGAAAACGAAACCGAAGTTTCTGGCTGCTGAGGTCAATGCTTCTTCGTCAGGCGATTGCGCCTGATATTCGAGAACGCCGTCTTTGATCTCAGACATCACAGTATGGCACAGTGCCAGAAGACTGCAAAATAAGGGTTACTCGTGAATGAGTTATCCTAGTCGAGGCATACGGAACATAATATGAATGCATGATCGTTGAACGTTTCGGTAAGCCGGCCCACCGGAAATAGTTCTCAACGTGTGGCTCCCCACTCTTAACGTCTTGTAACAGAGTTTTGTCGTAAAATCTGAACTTTGGCTCGTAGTCAACATTTGCACTGAAATCCACGGGAACCATATCCTGCAAGGAAGAATATGGAGAATCATAATTTTCAGGGCTGAGACGACCACGCCGATGACGTATGTAGACTTGGGATCGGATTCATTCCGCCAAAGTACAGAGTCGAAACCCGTACCTCCGTAACTTCAATCGGTTCACCGGTCTTGCTGTCCAAAACTTCTCCATAGAGTTTGCCATCGATGGAGGCTTTGTTGAATGTCATTATGTTTTGCGTTAATGTCCCGGTCTTATCACTGAAAATATACTCGATTTGGCCTAGCTCTTCGTTCAACGTTGTCGTTCGAGCTCTGGCAGCCTGGTCTTTCGGCGCGTAGTACATTTTCTCGTCCCAGTTGATCCATAAGGAATGCCAGAAGCGGATGACTTCAACACTGAAAGACGGGAATTTTATTTTTCCACTCTATTCTCTGGTCATGAATCGGGGCCACCCCAGGAAGCGAGGAACCGCCGATGACGTCGAGGGAATTAGGGAGAAATCTTTGCGAGGGAATGCACGATTCCTTCATGAATACACCAACCTGACATATAGCGATATGGGTACAACAGTATTGAGCACAATAGTATAGGAGAAAAAAACGAGCAGCGATATAAGAGCTGCTCCCCCTGCCGGATTATCGGTCGTAATGATCGAGGCGTCCCACGGCAAGAAATCACGGAAGTATTGTCCTGGAGAGAAAATTAATTTCTGTTGTGAGAGAGCTGGACCAATAGTGTACTGATAGCAATGTGACAAGGGTCGATGTCGATTCGGATCTGCTTCTCCGTGGCGATCAACACACCTGTTACTGTTTCCCATACGGAGCATGCGACGGAACAGAAGGTACAGATACTAAAGAGGAAAAACACAATTCCCAATATAAGGACATTCAGGAGTCTGTCGAGCGAAGTTCGCTTGAAGATTGTTTTGCCGCTGTTCTGCATTAGCTTAGTATCGCGTCCGGCAAAAATCACCATCCCGTAGCACCTGTAACAGATTTGACAAATCCGTCATGAGTTGTGGACGTTTTCAACGCGAGGAATTCTTCCCGCGACCGCGTGCATCCGACCAATCGATAGATTCGACCCCGGGAATGCCAAGGACAAAGACGCACCAATGAGTGTTCCTGAGCACACATCCTCGCAAGAGGATCTTGTCGTTGTCGATAGGATGAGTTTGATTTTTCCAATTGAGGGTTCCTTCGAACTTGTTCAGGTTATTGTTGGGCAATTCGCACACGATCTCGCCTGGAAGACGTCAAAAATTCGGATTCCGGAGGCTGTCGGCAGCGCTCCACATTTTGAAAGAGATGTGGAACTCTAACACAGAGATATGTCTCGAATTCCTACCATTGAATTTCGATAGGAGCTGCGTGTCGTTGCCCATCTCGGCGGTGTCGGGAATCGCTTGCCGGCATTTAAGGTTCGTCTCTCCATCTAACTCAGCGGTTTCTATATAGCACAAGCCATTTGGTTCTGAGGATGAAAGTAGCAATAGGTCGGCGGCAACGAATTGGTCGTTTTCCATGAAGATCAGGTCGCCCACTTGTACCTGTCGACAGCGAAACGATTGAAGGCTAGATCCTTGTTATAAAATTAAGGTATCCGATCCCTCCAGGCTCGGAATGATCAAGGCACGGGCGAGGAATCCTCTGCGATCGCGGAATCGAGTTTCCCACTTACCTTATGCCACCGCTCTTCCACCACCGTGCTTCCTCGGAGAACCTGAGCGAAATATTCGTTAATACTGAGGCGAGTCGTTGAGAACTGGGTCGGGTACTCCTAAAGCCATCTGTGCAGGTACTCGGTGCCTTTTGGATAGGAGCACGGTACCTTTGAAAGTCGGTTGTTAACCGAATTATCACTCCGATGCCGCTGAATATCGTCCACTGCATCTTTGGCCGCCGTCAATGTCAATACGACGATAAGCGGCACGGCGGTGGTTACTGGAGTTAATGAGGATATCTGCGGGATGAGCTGCAGGACCTGGGGGCGCAAGTCGAATGTTCCGAGGAAAATCAACGACTGTGACTCAATTTGGAATCAAGCCTCTGAGAGACTCTCGCGCCAGGGGAAAATAGTATTTTTGTCGAATCGAGCACTTACGAGGAGGCACAAAAAGTAGAAGTTGGCAAGTCTCTGGAACTGTTCGAAAAGATTTCTCGGGACAAACGTCAACACTGTATACTTCGAAGTTTTGATATAGTTGTTCTGGAAAACGAGCAAGAGCAGATTCAGACTCTCTGCGCGCAGATTCTGCAGACCTTCGCTGGCTCGAGCGAATGACCTATGCTCGAATAATGGAAGGCCTGAATGGAAAAGCTCACCGCATAGTTGAATTGGGCATTGAAGTCAGGATTATTAGCTCGAATCCGTCTTTGGGTTTCTGAAAAAAATCCGATCAGCTCATTGCGATTCACTCCAACATGGACTTGAACATGTGAAGTACGTCGGCCATCACGATTCGGTAATAAATCTAACCGCCCAATCTCCTTGAGGTTGATCGGGAATGCCACGTTATATATAATCGTAAAAGAGGCCATTGTTGGGAATGCCGCGGCATATTTAATCCTAGAAGAGGCTATCGTAGAGGGGGAGGGCTCTCATATCGATCCGCCCAGTAGTTCTGTCTGGATCCGCCACTGCATTTATATAATTCAACAAGAGTTCAAGATTTTGGGCTGAAGAGCGGTTTCGTGACCTGTACGTCAGAGCGGATCAAACCGTCCATGAGCACCCCTTGTGTCGGTTTTTGAGATCAGAAAATCGAGGAAGCTTAGAGCTGGGTTTGCCGAAAAAGTTCCTTATATGTGTTACGAGACGCCGCTAGACGACCCCTGAGCACAACGACAGCATTATCACGCTGTTGTCTCGACCGATGAGTGGGAGGAGCGGTGTGAGGTCGTTACTGCCAGCCTTACCTCACATCGGAGCGAGTCTTCAGCTTGAGATCAAAGATTCAGCCAAGCGAGCGGCTCGCCAAGAGCCCACCTCCCCACGGAACTGGGTCAAACGTCGTGCTCCACGAAAATTCATCTCCTACGACCCAGACAGCGCGGCACAGTAAAGCCACCTCCTTCTAACTAGCATAGTGGCACATATAATCTGCGTAGACGGATTCACAGCATCGAGATACAATAATTATGAACCTCGTCTACGTTCACTCATCAATACATCACCGACCGAGATCGCTCGACTCTGATCTCCATTTAGACCGTCGTCATCATTGAGCCACCCGAGATGATTGGTTTTGAGCGGGAATTTTCAGCCGACGAGATGGCTCAGAGCGAAATTTCCATCAAAAGTGGGTCAATGATCAATCGCCCCGATCAGAGGAAGGTGTTATATGCTCGCTGCTTTCTCTGGCGGCAGTGGGATTCTTTTCATTTCTGATCTAGCTGCCTTCGGAGTACGCGTAAGAACCTCATGTCGAGCAGGTATATCACAATCGAGACGTGAGGCAGAATCGAGCCCGGGAGTCTCGAATTCAACGGATGGGCTTCCGTGGATTGCGAGACCCTAACTGGGTCACCCGCTAACACCGAGGTCGTCAAGGATTACGTGGGTGAGGTCAGGACCCGAACGACCTCGGACCATAGAAGAGATTTTTGCTCTCGAGAGGAAACAGGCTCTGCGCTGATGCGTTCTTCATCCCTCCGTCGTTCGAGTGACAAGGTAATGATGATTCGGGATCATGATAATAATATGAACTCATCGATTGAAAACAATCATGTACATACTACCTCAGAAATATGCGTTGCCAGCCACCGGGGGAGCCAACGATTCGTCCCGAAGGAATACATGGCGAGGACAGACTAGGGAACGAAATGCATTCTCGACGATCGATGTTTTGAAGGTCATACCATCCAGAGAGGAGGCAGCAGAACTTCCGCCCGAAGGCGGGCTTGAATGCTATCCTTCCCTCCTTTTGGTTATGCCGCGATGTCAAAAAACAAACTTCGTAGCACTCAGCGAGCTGAACAATCTCTTCCGATCTGTTGCCCGCTACCCTCTCATGCCTGGCCGACAAACATTGAAAACATCCTCGAGCCTCCTTCCGCGTTGATTCGGCTATATCATACATCTTGAGCAGAAATACCCAAAAGGATTGACCTTCCCGAGAGAGGATACGATTCCGCGATGAGGATATGAAGGTATTCACCTATTGCGGTTCTCTGAATTCCAACAGTTCTCGGTACTGGGGAGAGCCAGAGCGGAAGATTTCGTTTCCCCCTGCCAAGATTCGTTTTCTTATGGTGGCTCTGCGACCAGCTCACTACGATGGGAGCCTGTCAACACGAAAAGCCGGAGGAAGCTCGGGTCGGTCGGGCTTTCTGCCCTGTCCTCAAGGAAAAACAGTGACATGGAGGTCGAACCGCTTATTTTTCCACCTCCTCAGGAAGTATTCGCTTCTCCAAAGGCACCGCCGTCGTATGCATGGTGTTCATCTGTCAGACACGTCGACAATACTTCATAGAGTAATTTTGCGGGGAACTTCTTGTGGACATTGTTTAGGACCAAGGTTAACCCCAGGGAGACCACCATGTATCCCGTAGACGAGAAAGTCTGAATGAAGGGGTCCGAGTCGCTCGTATACGTCTGACCCCAGAGTCGATCGGGAAGCCCCCTTCCTCAAAGCCGAGGTCAAAGCTCCCAGGTGACGTCTCCAAGCCTGGAGAGCAGAGGTCAGAAGCCCCGAGAAGGAGCAACGATGAAGCTGCACGGCCAGTTTGAGCGTGAGTTTCGGAAAATCATCTCGAAATTCGGTGAATTCCGGGTATTTCGGAGGTCCAGGCGCTCGAAGCTCGGAGGTAGCTGAGATTCGCTCGTCAAGATTCTAGATAACTCCCTTCCCGGCGTACTTACGAAAACCGTGGATGATGGCCTGCGAAAATCTCCGTACTCTTTCAAACCCATTCGAGGCTCCACTCGCTATGGATTTTTTCGGTTCTTGTGATGAATCAGCGACTCGATTCCTATGCGGGGCGATTTGCGCCCGGGGATTGCTCCGACGAGCAGCTGAGCTCCTATCTGCGGACCGTCTATGATGGCTTCCTCTGACGGCGGGATCCGATGGATTCGATCTTCGATGATGACGCTCCCTAGGGTTCCATTCCTCGGGGTCCTGGGGAGAGCCTCTACTGCCTCGGCTCCCCCGGCGATCTGTGGATTCTCTCGGAGATCGTCGGTGCTCCCTTGAACGGGGCGATCTTCGCCGCTCGCCTGGAGAGTCTCTCTGACTCAGAGACATGAGCATTTTGAGCCGGGCTCGAGCTCAAGATGAAGCGGCGTCGGTAGGGGCTTTCCGAGGTAGGATCGAATCACACGCAGCGGGGGCTCATCGCAAGCGGATGGCGTCCACTCGCTCACGTCCCGGAAGATTCTGTACACATTTGGCTTGTTTCCACGGAGGTCACGTCCACATGATCCGGTTTTCTTCGGGAATCCACACCAACGGAGCATTTGACAAAAGAGACCAGTCGGATTCCCTCGTCTGCTATTCGAGGGTCAGTACGCCTCCGAAGCTTCGACGAAGCGTTGCGTTTCTACTTCTAAGCTGGGCGATCGGTCGCCGAATTGGGTGATCGTTGTCGCAGTCGTTGTCGTATTCTTCGAAAAGCCGGCGGAAGAGGAACGGGGAGAACAGCAGCAACAAACGCGGCGAAGCGAAGAAAGTCAGGGGGGCGCCTGAGGAAAATTCGAAAGATGGCAACGCGAAGCTAGAGCGGGCACCCCACGGGGTACCCAACTCCACTCGTGGTTCCTTCCCCGAAGTCTCTCTCAACTGAAGAGTCGTTCGAAGACGTGGTCCACTTTTCTTGAAGAGAAAGCAAGGCTCACAAGCAGCGCACGAACCGAGAATCACATGTCTTCTCAGCTGATGCAGGTCGCCGTTTGCCTAACTCTGATCAGTCGGGGGGTGTGGACCGGTTGAGGAAGGGCCTTGGGTTGGGCCTGTTCGTTCGTGAACAGGGCGTCGTCCGAAGGACAAATCACGCTACGTAGCCGCCGCGAACAGTGAAGTAGTGCCGCAAGGTCGGGAGAGCCGGTCGTCTCCGGGCGATGTATTTTCCTAGTCTCGAGGGACGATACCCATCTAGTGAATAACATTGCCGAGAGCGAAGTTGACCGTTTGGAGTATTGAGATTTTCCTCCAGCTCGAAGACCGATGTTCGCGCGGTCGTTTCGCCAACAACAAGGTTTTCCTTGTCGCAACTACCCCGCATGAATGTGCCTAAAAACCCTTGCTCGAACACGTTTTACCCTCACGTAGCCCTCTCTTTCTCCATGGGTCTCGATTCCCTTCCCTACAAGGAACTCACGAGCCTCTCATTCAATGAACGTAAATCCCATCTCGTCTCCATGAGGCGATAACATCTCTTCGTTCGCGCATATAGGCAAGTTCTGCACTCGCTCGCTCCGTACTCAACAGTCGGGGAAGTTCCGCGGAACGGCTAGATATGCGGAAGAGGGTTGCAGCGTCTCGAATGGTTATTTCAGAATTACGCGAATCTCAGCGGCAGCTCAAGCACGACTTGTATTTTTCCGTCGAGGTTCCGAATTTCCCCCGTCATCCCCCCGCGAAAATACGCTCTCGCGCCCTATTGAGATTACCTCCGGAGGCTTAAACTATGCCTACGTTTTCTTTCCCGGAGAAATCTCTGGGTCTCCCGTAACTAGCTGTGAATCTGAACCAGACTCTCAACATCGGTTTTCATCGCGAAAACGCTCGATGCTGTGTATTCGCGGAGCTCATGTAGATCATTCGTCATAATCTCCGGAAAAGGGCTGCCTTTGTCCCTGGTGGCCCATAGTCGAGTAGGGCCGCAGCCAGTGGAGGTATATTTAGAGCAGAGGAAAAGCTGACGGGAGAAATAGATTTCGGTGCGTTGTCGGGCCGTCACTTAGTGTTGAGCTGGATCCTTCTGGATCATTCCCGCAGATCGGGAGAGGCGGAGGGTCGTTCCTCGATCCTGTCGATGAGGATAAAAGATGAAGCTAGGGAGTTGAATGCGAGTCTGGAGGCAAGGTCTGGCCGATCAGGTTCGTCTGGATTAGCTGAATCTGCAGCTCAGCCACTCGAACAAGCTCTGCGTTCCCCCGTACACGAGTAATATGAAAGGGGAATTCCCGCAGCATCCAATCGCAATAATTGTATTCACGCGCGGCATCGCCGCTCATGACGCACTGAGAGTGACTGACGAGCGGGGTCTACCGTGTTCACAAAGCTCGAGAGACTCACTGACAAGGGACGTACCAGAACTGCCCCCTCGCGATTTCGACGGGATAGTGCGGGATTCGAAGGTCGACTCGAGTCTAGAAAAACGCCATATGTCCTTGCGGCAGGTGGGCCTTTTTGACCGAATGAGTCGACCACCTTCATTC